CAGCTGGGGCTCAGTTCTGCCGCCCCCCAGCTGGTCCCGGGGCTCATTTGTGGTGGTGTCACCCGATGTGACCAAGGACCCTCCTGGGCTGGCAGCTGCCACTCGGGACACCCCAGAGCCCCGGCTTGGGGACAGTCCCCAGCTGCACGAGCTGGGAGGGCTCAGCTTTTCCCGGCACCAGCTCCAAGCCCACCCCGGGGTGCCCCAGCGCCCCCGGTCACATCCTGTCCCCACCGGGGCCCCGCGGTGGCCGCCAGCAGCCCAAGGGTTGGGTTACGGGCGGAGGGGGCTCTGCCACGGGCGGGGGACACGCTCGGCTCCGCCGGAAGGGAGATAAGCGGGAGGTCCCCGACCCCGGCAGGCAGAGCCTGGCACGGGGCCATGGGGACAGCGACACGCTGCGCCGGGTGGGAGCTGCTCCTGGGGCTCAGCGCGGGGACACGGAGGCGACCCCCTGCTCGTGGGGACACGGAGGGGACCCCCTGAAGTGTGGGGACACGGAGGAGCCCCCCCTGCCCACGGGGACACAGAGGGGACCCCCTGAAATGGGAGCACCCCCTGGTGTGGTCAGGGCAAGGCAGGAAGGGACACGCGGCCGGTGAGGGGATAACCGATTTATTTTCTGCAAAAATAATAATAAATTATCACCCCCCCCCCCCTTCTCCCTCCCTCCACCACGCGGACCCCAAGGACGGCGAGACGGGCGGGGGGTCCACTGCGGGGAGGGGGCACGGGAAGGGTTCGGTGCCCGGCAGGAGCAGCCGGTTCGCCCGGGGGTCCCGCCCCGGGACGGGGCTCAGGGCGGCCGGGGCTGGGGGCAGTGCCGGGCCGCGTCCCGCACCAGCCGGGCCTCGCGGGGCGTCCAGGGCCGGGCGTAGCCGTGGTCCTGCAGCAGGATGCGGTTCAGGGTGTGCTCGTGGTTGACGTGGCGCCGCGCCATCAGCAGGTACTCGCCGCCCTCGTGGAGCGTGGGGCACCCGCAGGTGCTGGGCACCCACAGGTACTCCCGGGCCACCAGCGGGAAGAGCTGCCGGTACCGAGCCTTCACCTCCACCTCGTAGCGCGTCTCCCGCCCCACCACGCGCCGCGCCAGGATCCGCCCGTGGAACACTGCGGGGGTGAGGATGGGGCAAGGCTGAGCCCCTTCCCAGAGGGGGCATCGCTTCTGGCATCACCCCAAGTCTCTTCCCATCCCCAGCATCGCGCTGAGCCCCTTCCCGTTCCTCTCATCATCCCTGGCATCATTCTGAGCCCCCTTCCATCCTCTGGCGTCGCCCTGAGCACATTCCCGTCCCCAGCACCGCCCCCAGCACCACCCTGAGCTCCTTCCCGCTCCTGGCACTGTCCCTGGCACTGTCCCTGGCAATGTCCCCAGCCCCATCCCACCCCCCGACACCGTCCCGAGCCCCTCCCGGCGCGGCGCTCACCGAAGTCGCTCTGGCAGAAGTGCCGGATGCGCTGGGAGCGCCCCTTGGGCGGGCGGCACCTCCCGCAGCGCCCTGCGGGGATGAAGCTGCAGCAATCGCGGGGGCAGAGGGGACTCCTGACCCCCCAAACCCCCCTCGTGCAACTTTGGGAGGGGAGGCTGAGGGTCCGGACCCCAGAGAGGGTCACACGGGGCTCCTGAGAGCTCTGGCGAGGGCTTTTAGGGTCCTTTTTAGCGTCCCCATCTTATTGTCCCACCTGGGACGCTCCCAGCAGGGCCGCGGGGGGCTGCGGGGACCCCCGAGGATGTACCTGCGGTAGCCCCGTCCCGGCTCCGGCTCCTCGGCGGTGGCTCCGTGGCGAAGCCCCCGGGCCGTGGGGGCGGTGCGGGGCCCGGGGTGCGCGGGGGCTCCGGGGGCGGGGGGCTGCCGGCCCCTCGGGGCTGCGGCTGCCGCAGGGGGCTGGTGGCACCGCGGCCGAGCTGGGGGTGCCCGCGGGGCAGCCAGAACTGGTACTCGATGCCGGGGTTGGGCTCCTGCAGCAGCACCTGGGCGGGGTGGGGGGACACACACGAGGCGGGCTGGGAGGGGCGGTGGCAGCGGGGATGGTGGCGGTCCCCAACCCGTGTCCCCCTGCCCGCACCATCACGTGCAGGTCCTCGCGGGTGGGTCCGGGCGCCTCCAGGCTCTCGGTGCCGTCGGGGGCCCGGCTGTAGGTCAGGACGGTGCCGGCGGCCTCGTAGGGCCCCGGCCAGGCGATGGTCCGGTCGCCGTTGAGGACGTAGCGGCCGTCACTCGCCATCAGCGCTACGGGACGGAGCGGCTCCGGCAAACCGAGCCCCGCACGGCCCCCGCGACCCCCGCCCGCCTCCCCACCGGAGGCCTCTCCCGGCGCGGGAGGGCAGCGTGGGCCGGGGAGCCGCGCTCGGGGCTCCGGGAATCCGGGAATCCGCGTTCCTGTCGGATCTTGGCTGCGGGCCCGAGCCGCAGCCAAACCCCGGTGTGCAAAGCCAGCCCCGAGCCCCCCGAGCCCGGCTGGGACGGGGGCAGAGGCTCCGGCTGCACGGGAAAGGGGACGAGGGTGGGGATGGAGGTCCCTGTGCTGGTGCTGCAGTGGCCGCTCTGGCCCCGGTCCAGCTCAGCCCTTCCCAAAAACGCGCGGCCGCGGCCTCTGGAAAATTGCCCCGAGCGCTTGCGAGTTCACTGACCCCGCGATGCTCAAAACAGCATCCGAGGGAGGGAGCGGCACGGCACGACATGGGACAAACATGGGAGAGCACGGCGTGACACGGCCACCCCTGCCCTGCCCTGCCCTGCCCTGCCCGCACACACAGCTGGCACCAGCCTGGGCCAACTGGGACCGACTGGGACCGACTGGGACCGACTGGGACCGACTGGGACCGGGGCAGTTCACGTCCTACCCAGGTAGTTGCGGCTCTTGTCCGTCACCTTGATGTGGGTGGCCCCGGCCGGGATCTTGGTCACATTCACATATCCCAAATATCCTGTGAGGGGGAAGGGTCAGAGCAGAGCCTGGGCAGGGCCCGGGGGCACCACGGGGGGACAGAGAGGGAGGGACGGGGCACAGAGGGGACCCGGGCCTGAGGCATTGACCCAGCTGGGCCCATCAGGGACTCTGGGTGCCCCCCGTACCCCAGACACCCCTGGGGTCATAACAGACCCCCCCACACCCCAGGAGTGACCCCTCTGCGAGGAGTTAATCCCCCCCAAGTGAAGGGGCTGCTCCGAGTCCCTGTCCCAGGAAGGGACCAGAGACCCTCAGGATGGGACGGGGGCACCCAGGCGATGCCTTGGGGACACGGATGGGGACAGGAGGACAGGGGAGCCAAGAGCCAAAGCATTCACCCATGGAGGGGGCCGGGGCAATGGTTCATTCACCGGAGGAGGGGTCCGAGCCCTGGAACAGCCGGTGGATGAGGACACACGAGCCGTGGCCGCTGCCGCAGGGGCCGCAGGCGTCGGGGCGCGAGCCCAGGATCCCGTCACAGCCCACGCTCTGTGGGGAGCCCAGACACCCCCTCAGCACGGCCTGCCCGGGACTGGGGGTCCCGGGGGGTCCCGAGGGGGGTCCCAGCCCCGTGTGCACCCACCAGGCAGCGCCCACCGACGCACAGGTCCGGGGAGCCGGGGCCGCAGCGGGTCCCGTCCAGCACCCGGCCGAAGCTGTAGTAGAAGTTGTGCCCCTCGGCCAGGCAGTTGAGGTCGCACAGGTTGGGGGCTGCCAGAGCAGGGGGGAAGGGATTGGGGTGATGCCCAGGACGGCCCCGGTGACCGTCAGCAGCCCGGGACTCACCTCCGTGGAAGGGCACCCAGCGGTAGCGGGCGGAGGAGCCCAGGACGGGCCGGTTGTCGTAGAGCGAGCACTGCATGGCCCGGAAGGGCACGGAGCCGCTGGGGCAGCCCTGCGGGAGCACCGGGATAGAGCCGGGGGAGCCGCGACGGGGACCGGGGACAGCCACGCCGGTGCCGCGGCACTCACCGGGAGCTGGCAGAGCCGGTACTGCCGCGGGTCCCCCGTGCACGGCCGCTCCTCGCCGCTCCTGCGGTCACAGCGACAGCGCGTGTCCCCCCGTGTCCCCCACGGCGACCCCCAGCTCCACCGAGCCACCACGGACTGAGAGCGGCACGTCCCCACGGGGCAGCAGAAGAGGCGAGGGGACCCCGATGTCCCACAGTGTCCCCCATCCCTTTGCATGGCCCTGGTGCCACACGAGGTGGTGGCAAGGCCGTGCCGTGGGATTTGGGTGCCACGCAGGGTTTGGGAGCTGGGGACACCCCGGGGGGGTCTGTGCTGTCCCCCACTCACCGCAGGCACCTCCGGCTGCGCAGGGCGACGCCGTCCCCACAGGAGCTGGAGCAGGAGCTCCAGGGTCCCCAGGACCCCCAGGTCCCCTGGGGCCAAGCAGGGGCTGGGGGCTCGGGGACCCTCGCTGGTGTCCCCAGGGCTGGGTCCTGCGTGAGGAAGGTGATGGTCAGCGCTGGGGGTGGGGTGAAGGAGCCTGGGGGTGCCACCGTGCGCCCCCCCAGCTGCCCCCCAGGCCCCTCACCTGTGCCGTGCCCACCAGGCTGAGCCAGGCCAGCAGCAGCAGCCGCCAGGACCTGCGGAGCAGAGAGCCCTGAGCCCACCAGGGACAGGGACAGGGGGGTGGCACCGGGGTGTCCCCCGGCCCAGCATCACCGCCGAGCCCCCCCGGGGACCCCGGCGAGGGGCACGGGGGTGAGGG